GAAAGGTCACTGAGCTAGGAGGTAATGGAGCAGGAATGTAAATCCAGGTGTGGCAGCTTCTAGAACCAGCATTCGTTACTGTTGCATACTCTACTTTTGACCACCGTGTACTAAACCACTCTAGGTCATCACTGCATACTTAATGGCTGCCAATTTCCTGCTGCTTGTGTAACTGCGGTCTATTTACTTAACCACTATCCCGGCCCCTCCAGCCCCACTGGAACAGCACACCTAGGCACACGGGTACAGGAGGAAGAAAAAGGCAGAGGAAATGCAGACCTACCTCAATAAAGGTGTTTGGGATCTATGTAAGGGGTTAATTTTCGCCTTCTCACAGACCTCAAATCTAGCCAAATTCAAGGTCTTTCTCCATTTTATTCCATCACTCAACGTAGGAGTGTAAGACAGTGGTTCCCAAACCTGCTTCCCTGGGAACCCTGGCATTGCAGAAAGCAGTGAGAATAATTGTCTGAAAAAATGAGATCTCTATTTTATAAGACACAGTTTTAAGTGTTTTTTTTTTTTCCTTAAGTATTTCTCCCTTAAATTTTTTTTTTTTTCCTCTCAAATTCCTGGCAACAGTTACCCTGGGCAGTGTTTATATGAAACAAGAAAATTTAACAAGAGGCTAAATTATTTCATCCATTCATCCCTCATTTGGTCACCCAACAAGTATTTTGGTAGGCTCTTACTCTGTGTCGAGCGCTTGTTGCCGGAAACATTTGGATGTGGTCTACCATATTTACATAAGCAGCCTGTTTGCTTCCTGGATGGGTTTGCTGTGCTTTATGCTTTATAACATGTGAGTGTATTCAAGTAGCTAGGTACTTAATCCCTGTGGTATTTTATCTTAACCTGCTTAAAGTGACTCCCTTAAAAATATTCTACATATAACTAGATGATTTTCATTTATTGCAATGCAGAGGCCTTCCCATGTAGTCTAAGCACTTGGGGATTTTTTTCCACTAACCATAATGATCCACATTCTTAGAATGGAATTCAATATGACCACGTTGCACGATGGTCTTGAAAGAGCTGGGCGATTTCCAAAAGAATGTGCACATAACCAGGGTTGGGAAGGCAGTTGGTTGTGTGGGAAAGCCCTCAGGATGGGACTCACACAGGCCTTCACTCAAATCCTGGCTCAGATGCTTCCTAACTGTGCAGCTTTGGGCAAGCCAATTCAGGATTCTGCGCCTTATGTACCTTCACCTGTAAAATGAGACCCTAAAAATCATACCACCCTCCAAGTGTTTTTGTGAGTATAAAGGTAATATCAAACATTTGGCATATAATAAGCGAATAAACAGTAGTGGTGTTATCACTAATAATGGCGATGGTATTCTTATTAATATTACATTTTCCCAGTCAAGTTCAACTGGGTGGGCATGTTTCAATTCCCAAGCAATTTTTTATCCCGAACCCATCTCCTTTTGCCATGGGATAGTGTTTTAAAAAAAAGCCCTGGAGCCTGCCCCAATTATAAAAGGAGATAAGTTGACTTCATTTAACTGCAGCCCGAGCATTTGAATTTAATTGAATGGGAAATAATTATTCCTGACGAGCAGAGGTTTTTGAGGTTCTATGAAGCGATATAAGATATGTATCTCATTACATTAAACCTCAGCAAATATACTTTAAATAATCAGCTCCTACTTAACATAACTTCCTCCTCCTATTAAATTTCCAGCAGGAACTATGGACATGAAGTATTGGGAAAAGAGGGGGGCTGAACTGCCGATTAATTATTTAAAAAGTGATTTATTTACCAAGGTGAGCCATTTGCAAATTCAATAAATCTATTAAGGAGCAGTTAACCTCTATAACTCTGTTTTAAATAATCAATTGGTGTTTGGGTAACGGGGGAGCGTCTGTCTCATTAGGTCGGTATTAACACCTTATTTGAGGCACTTAATCTGAAGTATGACCAAATCAGCCACAAGGTGGTAATCAGGTATTCGCCATGGGTCCTTCAGCCTCCAAGGAACTGGGTCCTTCTTCCCTGGCTGCAACAGCCCTGGTTGGGGGGCTTGGGGCATTCTGGGTCCTCTAATACCCAACTCCGTGCTCCCAACAGTGCCTCCCGAGACAAAGACTTGACGCCACCACCTTCCTCCAGGGGGAAGAAGAAAAAGAAGAAATCCACCCGGAAGAAGAGAAGGAGGTGAGCGTCCTAAAGGAGCATGGAAACTTGAAGATGGGAGAAAGAACAAAATAGGGGTCAAATGGGTTTCAGAGTCAAACAGTGACTCCCCCTGGGTTCGAATCCCCGCTCTGCCTCTTAAGTAGCTGTGTGACCTTAGGCAAGTACCTTCACCTCTCTGTGCCTGTGTCCACTGGTATAAAATAGTGATAGTACCTACCTCCTGGCGTTTTGTGAGGATCAGATGGAGAAAAATGGATGTAGAAGGAGCTGTCACAGTGTCTGGCACATAGTAAATGACCAGGGTAATCAGCATATTCAAGACCGTGAATATTGATTTTTTTTTTGAGAACTTATTCTGTGTAGAGGGCTATGCTATAAGCATTGTGATCTCCATGATGTCTTTCACCTTTAACCACGATTTACCAAACACTGTTGTCCCCATTTCAGAGATGAGAAAAGAAAGGCACAGGGAGGGGGGAACAGAATTTACAGGGATCCCAGGCTTCTCAGTTGCTTCTGCTACTCCTGCCTAGCAGGTGAATGCCAACGATAACAAACGGACTTTATATTTTTTGCCGGCGACAGACTCTTGTGTACCCCATGGATTTTTTTCTAGGTACAATTCCTTTTAATTTTTTTTAAATTTAAAAATATTTTCAGATTTTCTTCCAAGCTGCTACTCGCTAGACTAAAATCATGTCCAATGTTCCAGACCCAGAGGGGTAGGTTGAAAATCACACCGAACCTGGGAGGCTGTGTTTGAAGAAGCCTGCAGGGGGCAGCAGAGAGTAGTGTCTGGATGACTCGGGCCCCAACTCCAGGTTTTCCGGGTTCTTGCCACCTCCACAGCCTGGTTGGAAGAGGACAGGCCCAAAGAAGACCCAGAAGGGAATGTGAATGAAGACCCTATGTTGTAGGGTGAGGGGAGGAATTGGGGCAAGTGGCTTGAAGCTCCCGATTTTAGGGGTGGGCAGAACATTTGAAAGAAGGAAGTCAGCCTTCACTAATGTGCTTGGGGACAGGTGCTGTGGTTCCCTAAGAGTCAGGTTGTTCTTAACCCTGCATTTCCCCCTGTAGATTTGTTCTGTTTGACCTACAAGGTGTCCTTTTGTCTTTTTAATTCGTGGCCAGCATTCAAAAAACCAGGGCATTTCACATGAAGTTATGTTTTTCTGGTGACCTTTGTTGAAAAGGCCGGTGTTCCAGAAGCCCAGGGCTGCATTCCCACACGAGACCTTCAGCTGATCTGAGAAGCAGATGCTGTCTGGTTCACCACGGTCCCTACTGCTCCCTATTGTCTCTCACCCAGCCTGCTCTCTGAGAGGCCCCCGTTGGCATCCTCACCTGTGTCAACCTCAGTATTTTGTCACTGGGGAAATAAGAGACCCAGAGATGGGTGGTGATATGGCCCAAGGTGACTTCATGAGTTGGGGGTACCGTCAAGATTGGCACTCGGGTCCCTTGAACCTCAGTCTTGAGTCATAATCGTAATCATGGTCCTGGGGTGGCTGTGTTTCTTGGGGAACCCCTGATAGCACCATGCTGACCACAGCCTGATGAGGTCTTCTCCAGGGGTTCGATCTTACCAGGGGGCCAGGGTAAGGCAGAAGAGAGGCCTAAAGTATCTGAGAGGAGGGGCATAGCTGGGGGGAGTGGGGGTGGGTGGAGAAGAGCAGACACAAAGTATTTGGCCTGAGCAGGAGGGATGATAAAGGGATTGAGAGCAAGGCCCCTGGCATCAGTTTGAGTCCCGGCCCATCCACTTCCTAGCTGTGTGTCTTTGGGCAAGTCACTTTACCTCTCTGAACCCCCTTTCCTTGTCTGTAAAAGGAAGGTAACCATCGTACCTGCCTAAGAAGCATGTGGAAAGATGAAGTGAGATAATGCATATAAAACGCAGGGTGATGTTGAAAAAAAATGCCAATCTGATTATAGCAAATCAGTAAATGCAAATACTGATAATATCAGGATTGATATGATCCTTGTGTGTGAGATCCTGTGTGGGGGCTGGAGAAGGGTCTCTGAAGCCAACCCTGGTCCTTAAGGAACTCCCACTGAAGGTGTCTTCTCCCCCCACAGGTCCCCGTCATATAGTCCATCGCCTGTCAAGAAAAAGAAGAAGAAAGGCTCCAAAAAACATAAGCGACACAGGTATTGTCCTTCTGCCTCGGCAAACAGGTCTGCCCAGGTGGGCTGGGGGCTTGGGGTGAGAGTGGGGGGCGCAAAAAGTTCACTGGTGATAAGCTTATCATTTCACTTACGTAAGATACTCATCTGGGTGTTGGTATTTCCTTTTCCTTGTATAACTTGGACCTCTGGTTGCAAGGACCCAAGGCCCCCTAAAGCTAACTCTGGCAGGAAGGGGGTTTGTTTGATGATAAGGAGACAGGAATGTCTCAGGGACCAGCCAGGCCTCAGTGAGGATCTAGAACCAAGGAGTGGAGAGCTGGTAGCACCCAGGCAGGATACACAGTCCCTGTTCCACATGGGGAGACCCGGCTGCACCCTGTGCCCATCCCTCTGTGTGGCCGGCCCAGCCTCAAGAAGACACTGAAGCTCTCTGTCTTGTTTGTTCCTCATTCCAAATTCCCAAGGTCCAACTCTGTGGTTGGACCAACCTGTCCTCGAGGATGGGATCATGTAAAATGTGGCTTCTGGGATTGTCCACCCTTGGTGACAGTAGTTAAGGGGCCTTGTGAACTGGACACACATTCCAAAAGATGCCTCCTACACACACACACACACACACACACACACACACACACACACACACGGAAGAAAGGACTGAAGGATGTACACCAGAGGACTCAAATCTGTGGTCCATGGGCCAACTCAGCATTTTATAATTGGGAAATTGTGCAATGAAAAAAATCAGATTTTCCAGTTCCTCTGTAAAAATCAGCAGCTGTCTTCACTGGACTAATTTTCCCACAGGAAGCCATCAGCAAAGCTGAGGGGTTGCTGTGCATGTAGACAGAGTGTAGGTCTGAGCCCAAGCGTAGAGGGGCATGGGTCTGAGCCCACTGAGCCCCCCTCATTGAGGAAGCCCTCTGGGCCCCTGGGGGCAGGGAGTGTGAAATTCCCCACCTAAGTTGTTTGCTGTGTTTGGCTATGGCTGACAGGGGAAGAGTGGTGTGTGCTCTCTCTTTGCTCAGCCCTATCTTCCAAACTCCCTACATCAGCAGTGGATTACTTCTGCCCTTAGACAGTCACAGTGGAACAAAAGGTAAGGGTTCATTTGGGTTTTTCCTCTGCTTCTCACCCCTGGTTCAAAGTTCCCCCAAAGTGGCTTTTTCCAAGCCAGGGCTGTGGCCACGTCTTGGCCCTTGTTGCCAGAATGGTCTCAACTCAGTTTGGTTTCACCAGCTGTGTCCACTGCCCCAGACATTTCGACCGATGCTGAGTCTGTGCTTAACACAAGATATGGGCAAGCCGATGAGCAAAAGGTTGTTAATTTGGTGTTAGAAGCTTTTCCCAGTGGCCTGCCCCTGACTGGGACTGCCATCCTGTCACCTTCCTGTGCTGACCAATTGCTCCTAGTTTGGGGGACTTTTCCGTATCGGGATTGTGGAATTCAAGTGGCTTCTCCCTCAAGGGTTTCTCCTCATGAAAGAGAGACTGTGCCGGAAGGTTAGAAACAGGCTTTCTCTGACCCCCACAGCCAGCCCAGGAGGTGAAGGTGGAGAGGGAAGGAGGCCCATCAATGGGAGATTAGGAGGAAGAGATACTGTTGCTGATCCTTTCCAAAGCACCTGCTGAGCACTACCCTCCTTCTGGCCCAGCTTCTCCAAGCTCTTGAGATGTTGGGTTAATGATAGTTGACTGTTTTGGAGATAGGAGCAGGGGTGGGGGATGCATACAGATTTTTCTTTTTTCCCCTCAATTAGCATGGCTTCAGGGCTAAAAAAAAAAAAATCACATTTTTCACATCTATTTATTGAATACCCAATATGTGTCATGAATGAGGAATCTGGGCCCCGGGAACAGAGCAGTGACCAAAATCCAGCCCTCGCCCTTGAGTTGCTCACATTCTAGTCGGGGAGATGGATAATGTTAATAGGCAGAGGTGGGTGCTATAAGGCTAAGCTCAGAGCTCACCCAAGCTTGTGGGAGCAGAAAGTTGGCACCCAACCAGCCTGAGGGGATCAGAAAAAGCTACAAGGAGGGGATATCTGAATGGAACTCTGAAGAGTCTGCAGGAGTTACACACGAGCTGTGTGACCTTGGGCAACTTGAACTTCTCTGAGCTTCAGTGTCTATAAAATGGTTGTTAGTAGAACTTCGCAGGGTTTGGGTAAAGACTGAACGGGACTGTGTGTGAGAGACTTAGCACAAAGCCTGGCACGCAGTGAGAGTTCCACATATGGGAGCTGGGTTGTCCCTGACAACGAGGAGGATGGTGAGGAAGAATCCACCACTAGGGAGAGAGAGGTGAAGGTGAGGCGGGGTTTCGGGGAGGAGGCAGAGGACCCCCCTATATCCCCCACACCCACCCCCATCCGAGACGGGCTCATGGACAATTGGGGTGAGGATCGAAGCACTGGTCGTTTAGACTGGAAATTCAAAATGCAAACTAATGTCTCCCATATGGTCTTTGAAATCGGAGGGGGTCCCGACCGACCTCATGTAGCATGATCACACACGCACTGATGACATTTGTCCCAGGAAAGAAACCCTCAGCTCACCTATGTCTATTGTCTTCTTTCCCTCTTATCTTCCCCCTGTCCCTTTCTTCCTTCCTCCTCACTCCCTTCCCGCCCTCCCTCTCTCTCTTCTTTTTAATTCCTTTAATCAGGTCGTTCTCCAAGAAGAGAAGGCACAGGTAAGAATCCTTTCACCTCTGGCTGCTTGCTTCTCTTTCCTGCTTTCCTAAGGAGGTTTTAGGCAGCTTCTGGGGTGTGCTCTTGGTCATGCCCCTTTCATCTTCCTGGGCCTCGGTTTCCTCCAAGGTGAAGGCCTTGGGCTGGTTTCCCTGAGAGTTCCCAGGCAGCTTTTGACTTCAGTGAGGCCAGATGGCTGCTCCTCGACCAGCCCCCACTGCTGCCCCTCCCTGGAAAGTCTCACTACCCTGGTCAGAGTCCGTTCGTTTTGGCACTCGTTGAAATCCTGGATTGGGGCATGTCGGGAAACCTCAGCACCCTGATCCCGCCAAAGCCTCCCCAGATCCTAGCCAAGGGACAGAAGCCAAGTCCACCTGTACTGGAAACACTAAGTGAGCACAAATAGAGCTGTCGCCGACAGGGTCCTCGCTGTAAATTGGATCCTGCACTGAGCCCCTGCTCTGGGTGTGTGCCTGTCGAATCTCCGCTGATCTCCCTCATAACCCGGTACAGTGGATATGTTTATTCTCCCATTTTACAGATGAAGAAACTGAGATTCAGGCAGGAGGTGTGACAGGCGTGTCCACAGACACGGTCAGGTGGCAAGCCCAGATCTGTCAGACAGGGGATCGGGACTCCCTACCGTGGTGTCTTAAGTAACAGCCAAATCTGGAGCAATTGTCAGAGTGCAGAGTCCTTCTGTTTATCCAGTTAACAGGTAGAGAGCGATTACCAGTGTCATCCATCCCCTCAGCCCAGCAGCCCGAGCAATGGCCCCACTTCACGGTCAAGAAAACCAGGTCTTCCAGAGGACAGGTAACTTGCCTCAGGTCATGCAGCGACTGAGCGGCAGAGCTGGGGCGCAAACCTGGATCTTTCAGTGAGGTCCTGGGCTCTTCCACGGCCCAGGCTGAGTCTCAAGCGTGGAGAGAAATCGCACAGTTAACGCCGAGGTGCCATTTCAGTTGGATGAGTTGGATGAGTTTGGATGAGGTTTCCCCCTCTCCAGGACCGGGGCCCATCGTCCATTCTTGGTGACCCTCTGAAGCCAGTACTACCAAACAGCATTCACCCTCTGGGGCCTCTAGCTGATAATGCTGGGACCCCGACTCATCACTGTTCATTGGACCCATACCCCAGCCCTCTGACTTAAAAAACAAAAATGGTTAGTTAAATATCCATGAGCAGAACATTTCTGAATCTGCCAAGCTTCATGAAGCTTCAGAGTATCTCCCTGCATATACCATTCTTCTCTCTTACAAATTGATCGAACATCAGTCAACAGCATGGGCTCTGGGGATCCATGGTCTAGGGCCACATCCCAGCTCCCCTGTATGATCCTGGCCAAGTTTCTTAGCCTAGCTGAGGCTCAGTTTCCCCATCTGTAAAATAAGTACGCGTTAAACGTGCCTCTTCCCATAGGTTGCAGGGAGAATAAAATAAGATTGCTAACAAAAAGTATTTAGCAGAGTATTCCTTATAAGAAGTCCTCGAAAAATGACAGGTATCACCTTTATTTACCACTGTTCTTACTAAGCTGCCAAAGCTTGCCGTGGCCCCCGACGCACCCCATTCTCAATCCGTTTGTGGGTCCCTGTCTGTAGGTGCACCTGCTGGGTGAAAAAGTCAGCGTGGTGACTGCCCTGGTCTTGGAAATGATTAGCATGTGTCCCCACACTGCCCGGATCTGGTGGTCACTGTGTGTTAAGCATTTTAACTACTTGTTTCTTTTTACCTGTAACTGGAATTTTGCATCTTTCAATTAATTGGCCATTTCTCCTTTAGCTCCTCCAGCCCAAAAAGCAGAAGGAGGGATGAGAAGAGGCACAAAAAACAGTAAGTAGAGACCACCTGGAAAATTCTCTCCAGTTTGGGGGAGTAGGGGAACCCGGCCTCGTAACTGCTGGAGTGTTGGAGTTGCCATATAAACAGGGAGAGGGAGAAGGGGGTGCGTGAGAGGAACAGAGGCAGGAAGAGGCGGAGCCAAGATGCACGGTAGTTGTGGGTCTGGGTATGTGTGAGCGCACAAGGCCGTGTATACGACGTGTCTGTGCATGCATTTGTGTGAGCATGAAAGTGAGTGCCGTGCATCTGTGTGCCTGGCGGGCACCATGTATATATTTTTCTGAAGGATGTCTATGTGTAGCATACACCTTGTTTGTAGATCTCTGTACATTTTTCCATCCTGCAAACATTTGTGTGACCGTGGGTACGAATGTATGCCGGGGGGGTAGTGTGGGTATGGTATGTACTTGTGTTCACACGAATGCATTCTCTAGGCTCCTGCTTGTGCGAGCATGAAGGTAGACAGTGTGCACGGAGGTGCTGATTTTCTGCACGCTGAGTGCGCCCTGCTTACTTACCTGTGTTACGCCTAGGGAGGGTTGGTGTGGGGGTGGCTTTTCCCTGTGCACACAGGTGTGCCACGTGTGCGTGAGTGGTGATGGGGGCATGATCACGTGTGAGCACAGGCGTGAGCGTGCATGTGAGTCCGAGCCTTGGCTGATGGCAGTGAAGCTCCTACCCCTGGTCTCGGGGCCCCAGCTGGTTCATGGTTTATGGCTGGTAGTAGAAATTCAAATCAGCTAGCACTGTCTGCAGAGTTCAGTTCCCAGACAAATTAAAAGTAAATGTGGTTACAACCCACCTACTTTATACCCTGCAAATGTTAGTGCATGTGTTTTCCAATCAACTAATATTTTATCTCCCGCCAAGAAGCTTCTAAAGTGAGGATCAAAGGCAATAGGATGAAAGGCGGTTGGCTGTTGGGGAGGGAAAAGAGGAGGCAGGGATGCAGAGGGAGGGCACCCCGCTTTGGTGCCCGAAGGGTCACTTCATCCAAGGTCAGTGCAAAGGAGGACATTTGAGCCATCACCACAGGGGGCCTGGGGAATGCTTCAGAAGGAAGCAGTAGACTTTGAATTAGCTCAGGGAACAACTTCCCTATCATCAAGCTTGTTCAATTCGAGTCAAAAGACAATTATTGGTCATATGTATTGGGTGTGCATTCACGCTAAGCGCAGACAGGGTGCATATTCTCAGAGACCTCTGCATTACTTGTCCAGTGGGGCTGCAGTATAGACAGAGCCGGGGGAGAGACTCAGACTCTGAGAGCACAGGCGGAGGGGGCGGGGTGTGGGGGGGGAAATCATCACGGAGGCAGGGACTGCCTGCTTGAGGGCAGCAACGTGGCCACCCTCCCTGGTGCCAAGAGCTGAAGGAGTCCCAGAAATTGCTAGGTTATGCAAGCCAAAAGACAAGAGTCAGGAGAGGAAAGACCAAGAAAAACAAGGTGCCGCTAGGATAAAAGATGGTTCTTCTTGCCAAGTCCCATGATCAGGGCTGCTTCTAAACAAGTGATCACTGGAGAGATTTAGCCTCCTTGGATTTGACATCCCTTAATAAAGCCCTAATACATGGCAGGCCCTGGGCTGGGCCCGAGGACAGAGAGTAGCCAAATATTCTTCTGGATTCAAGGAGCTCACAGTTCCCAGCGGGACACAGGAGACACAGGACAGGTCACGGCACAGCGGGGACCACCGGGAGCCCAGGTGGTGTTGGAGAGAGGGCTTGGTGGTGAGCAGGGGCGTCCGACAGGAGGAAGTGTCTAGATTGAGGGTAAGGATGGAGGTAACCATTCTAGGCTGCAGGTTAGGCAAGTGGTTTAAACTCGGTGCCTCAGTTTCTTCATCTGGGAAATAAGAGAACCTACTTCATAGGCTGTTGAGAGGAAGAGATGGGTCCACCTAAGAAAAATACTTAGGCTATGGTGCCTGGCAGGCAGTATGTGTTAGATACGGGCTACCTGTCATCATCACCATCACAAGGGCATCATGAACTGGGACATAGATGAGCCAGAATACAAGCAGTTCAGACTTGCTTAAGTCCATCCAGCCAGGGCAGGAGATGTCACACAAGGAAGCTAGAGAGCTTCGTGGGGGCTGACTCCTCCGGGGTGCGTGGGGTTCAAGATGAGAGTGCAGGATTTGACATGAGGGCAATGGGAAGGTTCTAAGCAGGGAAGGAATATGGTCTGCTTATCACATTGACAAGAATCCCTGAGTCCTTTATTGGGATAACGAGACTGCCTCCCGACAGAGCCCTCTCTAACTCCCACTGGCTTCCTGCCTTGGCCCAAACCATTGACATTCCTTGTACATCCTCAGTGACCACTGCCTCTGCGGCTACTACTTCTAAGTCCTTATTATCATTTAGGGGGAAACTGAAGTAATCTGTAATAATACCATTATTAGTGGTAGGGGTAGTTGTTCCTTGTGGTTAGAATTTTTGTTGCCAGCGATGTTTGTAACTCTGAAAGTAGGCTTTTGACTCCATGTGAAAAAGCTGGGCTGAATTTTCCAGGTCTGAGGTTATAAATTGGCAGCCCAAAGGCCTCATTTACTCTACAAATGTGTTTTCTTTTCCCCTAAACAGTGTCTTTAAAAAAAATAAAAAGAGCTTCCATTTAAAATAGAAATATTTTATATGAAAAAAGTCTGCGTTTCTACATTCATGTGAAGAGTTAGAAGGTCCAACAGCGTGCCAGTGTTCTGGAGGCACACCCACTTCTTTCCTGAGCTCTCGCCTGACTGATTCACACATTAGGGTAGCTGACTGAGATTGAGACCCCCTGCTTTCAGGGGGGGAGAGGTGACTAGTGGGGGTGACACTCCTGTCCACGTGTGCTCGCCATCAGGGCTGCCCCGGCAGGGTGGGAGTCTGAGCCGCCTGGGCCGCTCCTCCACAGGAACCCCTGCCGCTCAGTGGTGCTCTGTATGGCTGGTCGGAGCCCCTGAATGCCCAGGGGGAAGGGCTGGGGTGATGCGGGGTGGGGGGCAGGCAGGAGGAGATGCCTAACTCTCGAGGGACAGTGACTTGGATGCAAGAGGATGATGTGTGTCACAAGATCGAAATCTCTCTCTCCCTCTCTCCCTCCCTCTTACCCTCCCCTCTCTCCCCCTCCCCATCACCCCCTCCAAGATCACGAAGCCGGCCCCGAAAATCTCACCGTCACCGTCATCACCATTATCCTTCCCGGTCCCAGAGCTCCGAGTCCCACTCCTCAAGCTGTGAGAGCAGGTAACCCCTTCTCCCCGGGGGAGTCGCCCTGGGGGGCAGCCCCTACCTGGCCGTGTCAGCACCGCCCTGTAGAGAAAAGGGGACCCCAGCCGCCTCCGTGTCTAGGAACAACAGCAGTGGCGCGTGCGCACACGTGTGCTTCCCAGGGCCCGCCCCCTCCGTCGCCACCATGTGGGTTGTGAGCCCCCTCCCTGCATCACCCACACAATTCCCTCGACTACCCTATGAAGTAGCTACTATTGCTCTCCCCCATTGTAAAGATGAGGACGCTGAGGCACAGGGAGCTTAAGGACCTTGTTAGTCGTGTAGCTGCCAAGCGACAGAGGTAGGATTGAACTGGGGAGTCCGGCTCTGGACTTGGCCCTCTCACTAAGGGTTGCTCTAAGCACAGAGAGGCTGAGCAACCTACGAAAGGCCACACAGCCCAAGTCCCAAGTTCTGAGGCCCTTCCAAGTCCGGTTTCTCCTAACTTGGACCTGCTCTGGGCCGACACATCGGCTGTGCAGGTTGGAGAAGGGGGAGGAGGGCTCTCTCGTGGACGAGACGAAGAATAAGAACGAAGAGTGGGACTTTGTGGATGTTGATGTTTGAAACCGGCACTGTCCAGCAGACACAGCAAGGCCAGCTTCCGGATGTCCGAGGCTGCTTCATCCTTCATCCTTCATCCTTCCTCAAGTGCGTCCCACACACCTGGCTCTGTGTTCGTGTTGCCTGAGGAGATTTAAAAATGCCACTGTCCTGGTCCCACTGCATCTCAGTTAAACCAGTGTCTGGAGGAAGAAGGAGGAGGAGAGGGGGATTATTTTTTGAAGTCTTACTTGGTGCTACAGTTTCAAATACATTTTCCCTCTTGATCATCCCAAGAACACCATGAGGTAGACTGGGGCTGCACTTTGCAGTCACCTTGGAAGAATTTTAAAATACCGATTCCCAGATCCCACCCTTTAGGTGTTCTGATCTTGTTCGGATGAGGTAGGGCCGGGGCGGCGAGATTTTTAAATCTTCCCCCGTGATGCCAGTGTGGAGCCAAGCGTGAGAAGTATTTGAAGAAGAGGAAAACGTCCCTGACACGTGCTGCTATCACTCATAGGCCTCGGTGTTCCCACTGGACACCAACAACTATAAAGAGCGTAGGCATCAGGCAAGGTTGCTCTGTGACCCTGAGTGATCAAGACAAAAACAAAACCCCTCGGTAGTAAGGTCAGAGCCCCAAAGACACAGGAACCTTGTCCAAAACACAAAAGTGACCCAGCATCTCTCTATCCTGGCTAACACGAGGGACTGCTATTTCCTGACCAGCTAGAGCTTTGGCCTTGGTCTAGGCCCCAAGATTTATGAAGATACGCAGTGAGAGCCTCACCTCCACTTAATGCTAGCATCCAATCCAGAACAAAGCCCCAGTTCCTTAAACGCTCCTTAAAGTCACCTGCCACCTGCCCATAATAGGCTCTTTCCATCACTCTCGTACAGAGACGTTCTCCGCTTCCTGTGGCGCATGCTCTCCCTCGCTGCAAGGAGCCATAAACATGCTTTTTCAGCCACAGGCATGCTCCTGCTGGCCTTTGTCTGGAGGGCATCGGTTCACTGAGCTTAGTTGCATTACTGATGTGGTACAGCCGAGAAAAGTGCATCATGGTGAGCAGAGGCATCTGAGCAAGGTCGCAGGGACTGGCAGGGCTCAGACAGAGCCCTTGACCTCCAGCCCATGCTGAATCAGCTCTCAGCAGCTCAGCCCCATGGGCCCGGGGCCAGAGGATGGTGCAGAGAGCTTGCTGCCCTCTGTCCTGCCCTCTGCCTTACCGCTTAGGGAGATGGCTCCCACTGCAGAGCCCAGCCTCGGTCCCCTTCTTATGTCCCCTCTTCTGGGGTGTTGCTGCTTGAGCTCCCCAGTGCCTGTTGGGCTGAGGGACACTCCAGGGGGCATCGAAGCAACCTGAGAGCCAGCCCTGGGGCCACACACCCAATAAAAATGATCTGGAGGCCCCAGAGCACAGAGGACATTCCAGAGCATGACCAAGAGGCATCGGTCCCTCTTGGGGCAGAAAACCCTGCCCTGGTCCTGGTTCTGCCACTCGCAAGCTGTGTGACTTCCGGCGGGTCCCCAAATAGCTCTGAGCCTCAGGGTCCTCATCTGTAAAATGGGAACTACCTGCCTTGTTTGTGTTGTGTCTTCAAATTGGAGAGAGGACTGAGAAGAGGGGATTGCAAATCAATAGGGTGTTACCTTTATTACTCCTGTGGCCCAGAGCTAATAGGCCAGCAGAGTCTAAAATCTACCCTTTCTGAAGAGTCAGAGATTCCTTCACTTTCCGCAGCAGACAGGGCAGCCCAGGGTCTGACAGGCTTACAGAAGGCCTCCTTGTTATTTTTGTCAGCTACTCTTTTTTCAAAAGTTTTGGGTGACAGTCACTGGGATGCGTCTATTTTACAAATGGTCAAGTCACATACTTGAAGACATACAGATAGGCGCCGTCATATTTATAGACAAACACAGATGGACACACCCAGACATACACACAGTCACGTACAAACATACCGACAGACAGTCCCACACACCCAGGACATGAAAGCAAATCAGGCTGGGACATTTTCTGTCTTCCCAGCTGCCTTCCCAGCACCCCGTACATTTGTCCAATGAACAAATGAGAGAAGGAATGAATGAACGAATGAGCAGGTCGGGGGCGGGTGGATGGAGAGATGGATGGAAGCACGTGTCGTTTATGTAAGCAGTACCAGACACATCCTATAGCCCTCCGATCCTGTGGGCCCTGCAGCCACCCCTCTGCCACACTCCCCTTCCGAAGACCCTCTCATCTCTCTCTCCCGCTCCCCCAGGCACCGCGGCAGGTCCCCCGAGGAAGGGCGGAAGTCCCGCCGAAGGCACTCCCACCGCTGCTCCAGGACCCTCGGCAAGGCCAGCCCCGAGGCCCGCTCCAGCCACCCGCCCAGCCAGCCCCTCCGGATGCTCAGCCTCCTGTCGGCCAGGGGTGTAGTAAGTATTCCACACGGCCTCCTCGGCCAGTCTTGGCCGTGACCCTCGGGGCAAGGTGAAGGCGCAAGTTCAGGGCAGTGTATGGCACATTTTAACTCAGTTTTGGGCAAACACCCCACTGGCTTTCAGACCTCCTTATTGATTAACAAAGTGGTCATTCACCAACCTTTGGCAGCACTCGGTTGGGGGGAGGAAGCAAAGCTAAAGTACCCAGGCTTTCTATTGGGGGGAGCACTGAAAAATACACGCTGGTCTCCAGAGTGACATCTGCAAGGAATGCATGTGTGAGACACCGTAGCAGGTTTCTTTGGGGAGGAAGGAAGAGAGGGGGGTCTTTGATGTAGCCCAGGCATTCCAGCTTTCCAGTGAAGTCTGCATCTTTGATGCCAGCTAGGCTGCAGCTTTGATTAGTGGCCGGGATTTGATTTCACCTATAGAAACACGGCCTTGAATGTATATGAGAATTTTCCTTCACGGAGCTCCTAGCGCTTGATCTGTGTCCTCTCGTGTGTCCACATAAGGTCTCAGGGCATCGAGGGCGTGACTGCTCTCCCTGGTCCCTTCCACAGATGGGACAGAAAAACCAAGGCTCAGAGAGGTTACGAATCTGATTTAGCAGCCCAGCATTGAATGGAATCACGTGACGCTCCCTCAGGTCCACAAGGAGGAGCTGGAATATGACTTCAGACAGTCTGATGCCAGGAAGTTTCCTGAGCAAGGGATTCAGGGTTGGAGCTGAACTCAAGTCCTAGCTTTGCTACTCCCTAGTTGTGTGGCTTTGGGCAAGTCACTTCCCTTCTTTGAAACTCAGTGTTCTCATTGGTAAACTTGCAATAATACCACTTTCATGTGGGATTGGTGGGGACATCCAATAAGATAAAGTACGCGAAGGCCTTTTGTTGATGCTAAAGGGACAGATACACAAGCAGGAGGAGATGCAACATGGACGTAGCCTACAACCACGGCTGGCCGCTGGAAGGGACCTATCTCCTCTAGCTATGGGTGAAGCTGTAAATTTCAGGCGAGATGAAAGTGTGGAGAAGCTCGGGGTGCTTGCAGGAAGGTCAAGGAAGGGAAGGCAATGATAAACACTAGTTGGGCCTGGTTGATGCAAGTTATCACCTGCAGTGCATTCTGGGAAACTCTTCTTTACCATTCAAGGCACAAGGTCTCATTTTGTGCCAGCAAGGTCTCATTTTGTGCCAGCAAGGTCTCATTTTGCCCAAATCCTCTGCCTAGCATTCACAACGTTCCCAGGGCCCCCCTTTGAAGAGGTGTCTTTGGTTGCTGAGTATTTTGCAGATGGAAAATGCCCACCTGCATTCCCCCTCCGCTGATGTCCTATAAAAGGTCTTCCCAGCATGGCAAAGAGTCTGGAGGCCTGGGTGGGAGTCTTGGCTTGGCTGGACAATTCCTTCTACCCCTCCCGGCTTCAACTTCCTCACCTGGAAAATGGGCATGATGATCTCATTTGTCTCCCAGGAGAATTGTTGCGAAGTTAGAAATCAATTCAATATAAGAGCCGTAAGAGATAGAAGAAGCAAGTCAAAATCACCCAGTCTTTCTGGTCCTGGTATTTGTGGTAGCCCATTTGGTGGCCCCCACTGACCCTCACTAAAAAGAGCCATTGCGAGCAGCTGGCTTATTTGATCACCTGCCTGGGATGGTTCCCTCACAGGCTAGGTCTGTCAAGATGTTGCGAAAGGCTGGATGTTCCTAAAAAAAAAAAAAAAGTGGGGTCCTCCCACACCAGCTGGTGAGGAACCAGACTGGCTGTTGGTTCTTGAAGACTGAGTGTCTCCCATGGGCCCAACCCCTATCAGAAGAGCTGAGAGCTCACCCGTACCTAGAAGGGACAGGCGTTAAGAGCTCACCCAGCTCAGTGCCCTGATTCCAAGAAGAGAGACTAAGAACCTGAGACTCAGAGAAGAGAAATGACTTCCATGGGCTGTGTCAAGTTGGAGTCTTTCAAAGCACAGGGCTATGATGATGCCGTCAAATCCTAGCTCTGAGATACGGAGAGTTACTTAAACCTTTCTGAATCCTTGTTTCCTCATCTGTTAAAAAAAAATGCAGAGAATAAGGCTCTTCTTCAAAAACCCTGCTGTGTGGACAAAAGCAAAGTAATATTGTAAACGGTTGACCCCGGTGCTTGGCACAGGGGAAGAACTCAGCAAATATTCGTGGGTGTTACGACTACAGCATCCTGGGTGCTCCCTCTACACTTACCAACCTTGGGACCTTGAGCAAGTTCCATAAACTTTCTGTGCCTCAGTTTTCTGTAAATCTGCAAAACAATGAGACCTGCCTCCTAGGAGGTATGGTATGGAGATTCAGGGACTTGATGTAAGTAAAGGTTTTATTTTTTTTAATATTTTTATTTATTTATTTGACAGAGAGAGAGAGATAGTGAGAGCAGGAACACAAGCAGGGGGAGTGGGGGAGGGAGAAGCAGGCTTCCCGCGGAGCAGGGAGCCTGATGCGGGGCTCGATCGCAGGACCCTGGGACCATGACCTGAGCTGAAGGCAGACGCTTAAGGACTGAGCCACACAGGCGCCCCTAAGTAAAGGTTTTAGATTGCAACAGACAAGTGGGGTAATGCTACTTCGTGCTCGCTGCTAATAATAGTAGTGGCAGCAGTGAGAGTAACCATGGATATAGCAATGGGGTAGCGACGATATTTAGCAGCACTGGTGATAGTAGGAGTAGTCGTAGTAATAATAGTACCGCTCCAGGTCCAGGCTAGCCCGTGCATGACTTGGGACCAGAGCCAGCCCCCCTCCCCTGCTTCCTCTGCTCTCAGCTTCCTCTGTCCTAAATAGCAGCTGCAGCCCTAATGGCCCACCCCACCCCATTCCTGGTTGCCTGACTTCTGGGGGCATCCGATACCCCCAAGTCTAGCTCTCTGAGTGCCCTCCACGCTAGACCCTTTCTCCTCTTCTCTCCTGCAAAAGGCAGAGAGGGACAAAGGTGCCAGGTTGGACCCCAGGTTTTCTGAGAGTCCTGGCCCAGGATTTTCCTGAGCTCCCTCTTAAAGAGAACAGCAGAGTCACTGCACCTGAAGAATCCATCCAATCACTCATTCAAATCTACCAATTATCTCCCAAAACATCTATCAAGGGTCAGCTCCGCCATGGTTCTCGGGATTCGGTGAATATAGAACAGTCTGTGCCTTCTTGAGAGGGAGACAGACAAGGTAAAAACTGTAAAAGACAAGACACAACAATTAATGCAGAGATGCTGAGATGGGGTGGGAGGTGGCAGGCAGGGAAGGGATGCTAGGGTTAGCATTAGGTTGGGGCAGAGAAGGCAACAACTGAGAAACTAGTGGTGAGCAAGAATCAGCCAAAGGAAACGGGAAACAAAGACTGGAGTCGGGGATGGAAGCAGAATTCCAGGGCAAGAGTTGGGGTTCTGGGCATAAGCAGGAGCCTGAGTGTGGAGGGTCTTCTATGCCCTGGCTCCCGCCACACTCCACTGCAGGTATTTCCAACGCACGGCTCTTTAAAAAATCAAGGATAGGCACATTACATCAGGGGGCATATCTGCATATATGAATATGCAAATTTAGGGTTGTGTCTTATTGAAATCCTAGTTGGTGAGCTAAAGATAACCTGAAGCCCTCTTGCTCAGTCAGAGCCCAAATCCAAATGGAGGGTCCCAAGGAGATGATTTAGGGACCCTTCACAGCCTCATTCATGTTCTTTATCTCCATTCAACCATCTTTGTTCAAGGCATCAGGGAGACAGAGTTGAATAAAACACTCTTCCTGAACTCCAGGGCTCAGTCTGGTAGTCAACAGAAGACTGCACTACAGTGAGATAAGTGTTGTAATTAGGGCTGAGATTGAGTCAGTGAGCACCAGTTCCTCCTCGGTTGTCGAATATTCAAAAACTTGCACACTAGTTGGTTAATAGACCCTGTCACCACTCTATCCCCCCGAGTCACCAAAGCCACCCCCTCCCTCCCCTGGTACCTGGGGACCTCCTCACAGTTCAGCAACTAGAGTGATACCTGACAGCCGTCAGCACCAAGGCCAGCTACCTTCAGATGAGGCAATGTCCACACCCCACCAGTTGCTAAATATCCAGACCGTCAGCCCTGGTGGTGATGGAAGTCAGTACAATGTCGAGTAAGACCGCAGAGAAGGGACAAGACAGTGCTGTCTTGGCACCTGAGAGGGCTTTACAAATAAGGGAACATTTGAGCTGGGCTTTAAAGGATGGGTTCCCCAAATTGAGATGACTGATGAATAAAGGGAGGGGGAGATACCTCTATGTACCAGGCACTTTTGTTAGAACAAAAGTAAAGCAGCATTAGAAACTATCCCATACTCTACCCAGTTGTTGTTGTTATTGCCATTTGATCCACAAAGCAGTTCTTCGAGATAGATGCAATTATTATCACCATTTTTCAGACAGGAAAACAGGCTCACAGAGCTGAAGTGACTTCGGTAGGTGGCCCAGTTGGGAGGAAGGGGAGCTGGTATGAATTGTGGCTTGTGTCTCAGAAGCTGACTCTGATAGCCAGAGTACCGACTGGATGACAGAGGGGTTGGTGGCACCAAGGTTTGGCCAAGCCTTTTCCCTGTTGGCATGGGGCTCTCTGTCAAGTCTGCTCTCCCTGGAGAGGGAATCTGGGAGAGGGCTCATCACAACGGAAGCTAGACCAAGGAGAAGCACAGGCTCCTTTTCTCCTCCTTCTGCCTCCAGCTTGGGCCAATAGTTGCCATGTATTCTTTACCAACAAAAACCTGCAGATGCCATGACAAGAAGAGGAAGAAGGAGGAGGAGGAGAAGGGCAGGAAGTAGAAGAGAAAGAAGAGGAAGGAGAAACAGAAGAGGAAGAAGAAGGAGAGGAACAAGAACAAGAAGGAGAGCAGAAAGAACCTGGGGCCCATAAAGGAGGGCCTCATGAAATCTGTCAACAGGAGGAGGCAGTAGAGTGCAGTGATGAAGTCACGGGCTTTGGGGCAGATCTATAGACTCTGGGGTTCTTG